TGCGCATCCTCCCCATAACTAACAATCCAAAAGAGTTCAGTGGAGCCTAAGCGGTGGGTGTTGCCTTCTGACACACTTCCGGTGATGTCAGGGGGTGTGGCATATGCAAATAATTTATGCTAATGAGCTATGCTAATGAGCTCCTGCACCTCTTTTTCTATGAAATGACCCCTGGGTGGAAGCTATAATTTATTAGAAGAAGAGATTAGATTTATACCCCACCCTTCACTATCCCAAGGAGTCTGAGTGGCTTACAATCTCCTTTCCCTTCCCCTCCCCACAACAGGGGGGAACAATGCTCCTTCTAAGCTATGGAGTCCTGTGAGCAAAAATTCTAGTTTGTGAGCTACCGGCATTAAAGTTGTGAGCAAGTGATTTGGCTACTGCATAAATTAGTTTACTCTGGAGCAATGTTCCCTCTAAGCTGTGGAATCTTGTGAGCAAAAATCCTACTTTGTGAGCTACTGGCATTACAGTTGTGAGCGAGGATTTGGCTGCTGCATAAATTAGTTTGCTCTAGAGCCATCCCTTTCTGAGCTAAGGCAAAAATCTGTGAGCTGGAGGCTAAAAAACTATAAGCTAGCTCACACTAACTCAGCTTAGAGGGAACACTGCTCTGGAGCCATCCTTCCTGAGCTCAGACAAAAATGTGTGAGCTGGAGGCTAAAAACTGTGAGCTAGCTCACACTAACTCAGTTTAGAGGGAACACTGCTTGTAAGGTAGGTGGGGCTGAGAGAGCTCTGAGAGAACAGCTCTGAGAGAACTGCGGCTTGCTTAAGGTCACCCACCTGCTGCATGCGGAGGAGGAATGTGGAATCAAACCCAGTTCTCCCAGATTAGAGTCCATGCTCCTAACCACTACACCAAACTGGCTCTCTGCCCCTCCCAGGATGGTGTGCATTGTGTTTATCAGTCACAACATCCCAGAGAGAGAACCCCCTCGCTCAACTGGTGAAAACGAATATGTGTTTACAGGGGAGACCGGCTTTCCTTCCACGCCTTCCCCTTACGAAGTCAGTGGCCGGAGAAACACCGGGAACATGATGCACATGATCTGCTGAGGAATGTACTTTTCAGTCTTTGTGTATGGCCAGGATGCCTGGCCGGGGTGTGGGTTTGTGTACATAACTGAGCGACCAAACTGCAGGAAGTATTTACTCAAGGGTTTTGTCTTCTGCCTGTGTCGGTGCTGCAGCAGGTGCTGATAAAAGCAGCCGGCAAAACATCGCATGAAATCAGGGTCAGCCCCTGTTTGGCCATGTGGGTTCCCCGTTTTATAATCAACAACATCCTGGCCGGATCCAGAGTTTCTTTGCAGCCAGTGCTGCCGTTTCTCACACTCTCCCCTTTCCGTAGCCACCAAGCTGGCTATTTGGGAGTGTTTCTGTCCAACGTATACACTTCCCTTTGTTTACTACAGAATTTATTTTCTACCTTCGGTTTTTATTTTTTTCCCTATCTCTCAGGTGGCAACATTAAGAGTCTTTTGTTACGGCAGCAGGGTGCAGCAGTTTGCAACTCTCTGCCAGGTACTGGGTATATTTGCAATGTTTTAAAAATAAGAAAGCAAGAACGTTTATCCTTTTAAAGCTCATAAGTATGCTAAATAGCACAATTTTATATGTCAAACAAGAAAAAGATGTGGTCAAATCAGTAAAATGAGTTTGGGTTTGATACCAAAGTGAAGATCTATATATCTAATAGCCAAGGGGCCCCCTGCGTGCGGATATGTAAATCCGCACGTCGGGGGCACCTAGAGGGCAAAGAGATTTCCCTGCGCGTTTGGGGCAATCCCCAGATGTGCGGAAAAATCTGAAATCTATAGTGCGGAAAAATCTGAAATCTATAGTGCGGAAAAATCTGAAATCTATAGTGCGGAAAAATCTGAAATCTATAGTGCGGAAAAATCTGAAATCTATAGTGCGGAAAAATCTGAAATCTATAGTGCGGAAAAATCTGAAATCTATAGTGCGGAAAAATCTGAAATCTATAGTGCGGAAAAATCTGAAATCTATAGTGCGGAAAAATCTGAAATCTATAGTGCGGAAAAATCTGAAATCTATAGTGCGGAAAAATCTGAAATCTATAGTGCGGAAAAATCTGAAATCTATAGTGCGGAAAAATCTGAAATCTATAGTGCGGAAAAATCTGAAATCTATAGTGCGGAAAAATCTGAAATCTATAGTGCGGAAAAATCTGAAATCTATAGTGCGGAAAAATCTGAAATCTATAGTGCGGAAAAATCTGAAATCTATAGTGCGGAAAAATCTGAAATCTATAGTGCGGAAAAATCTGAAATCTATAGTGCGGAAAAATCTGAAATCTATAGTGCGGAAAAATCTGAAATCTATAGTGCGGAAAAATCTGAAATCTATAGTGCGGAAAAATCTGAAATCTATAGTGCGGAAAAATCTGAAATCTATAAAAAACTATAGGGGGGATACTTAAATCCCCCCAAAAGTGAAAGAGCATTCCCTGCGCATGCTGCCGCTGCTGGGGAAGGGGGGGAGAAGGCTTGGCGGGCCAGGCCTCACAGCTGCTGCTAAGGGAGGGGGGAGGCTTGGCGGGATGAGCTCAGACCTTGCTGCTGGGGGTGGGGGAGGTTTGGCAGGCCCAGCGGCATGGAGCCACGCGGTACTCGCTGTCGGGGCCAGGCCGGGCGGGGGAGGAGAGAAGGCTCACCTGCGGCGGCTTACTACTCTGCGTGGAGGCCCCCCATGAGTATCGCGGGTCGCCCCTTCTTGTTACATATATTTCAATTTTTCTTAGTTAAAAAAAACGCATCTAGAAAAAAAGGGCTTTTGACATGGTTTTGAAAATTCTGGAAATTGAACATCTTACACACCCAGGGAAATGCTGATCACCACTTTGGGGCCAGGAAGCCATTTTTCTCCAGGCCAGTTTGTCTGGGGATCCTGGAGGTGTTTCGTCATCTTCTGGGCGTGGAACAACAGTCACTGTGGGTGTGGAAGGGGAGGTGTTTGTGGATTTCCTGCATTGTGCAGGGGGTTGGACTAGATGACCCTGGAGGCCCCTTCCAACTCTAGGATTCTATCTCTAGGCAGGGTTCAGTTACTTTGGCAATCATGGCTTCCACTTCTCCAAAACAAACTTTTCTTGTAACATGTTGTGCCACACACAGACTCAAGCAGAGGGGCAGCATTGCATTTCTAACATGTGTGAGGAATTCAGCGTGGCCCGCTCAGAGTGACTTTGACTTCTGACGCTTGCAAGTGAGGCCTCAATATCACCAGCCGTTTGCACTAATCGATGAAGCCAGCCTGGATATCCAAAGGTGGGCTGTGATACTACATGGTCACAGAAAAGCACTCTGCACATGTTCAATGGCACTCTTTCTTTGGAACTCTGGCCTACAGGAAATCGGCAGTCCTAGGCATATGTACATGGGAAAGAACTCTGAGAGGTTAACTTGCGAGTAAACACAGCAACTGAAATGTGAGGTGGGAATGTCTGGAGCACACAAATGCCACATCCTAAAGGTGTTTGAGCTTGTGGGGCTACAGAGGCCTCTGAACACCCACAGGGGGGAAGGGGAAGTTGATGGCTGCCCGCATTTCTGTCTCGCCAGCTTCTGGTATACTGCCTCTGCCACTGGAGGCTCCATCGATCTCTTGTGACCTAACCTCTCCTCCTCCAACATGCGGACTCCTTCTCAAAAGTGGCTCATAGAATCGTAGAGTTGGAAGGGACCTCCAGGTTCATCTAGTCCAACCCTCTGCACAATACAGGGAATTCACAAATACCTCCCCTCCCACACACCCAGTGACAAGTGTTCCCTCTAAGCTGAGTCAGTGTGAGCCAGCTCACAATTTTTTAATCTCCGGCTCACAATTTTTTGTCTCAGCTCAGGAAGCATGGCTCCAAACAAACCGATTTATGCCGTAGCCAAATCGCTCGCTCACAACTTTAATGCCAGTAGCTCAGAAAGTAGAATTTTTGCTCACAAGACTCCACACCTTAGAGGGAGCATTGCCGTTCCACACCCAAAAGACGGCAAAAAACCTCCAGGATCCCCGGTCCAAACAAAGCCTCGGACAGGCGACTCTCCTCTGCATTTTGGCAACGTTTCCTCTGCTATGAAGGTTGCCAATTCTTCCTGGAGAAATTCCTGGAGCACTGGATACAGTACCTGGGGAGGGACTTCCATTTCTCCTGGACTCTATACCAGAGTCCACCCTCCAAAGAAGAAGAAGAGATTGGATTTATACCCCGCCCTTCAGTACCTGAAGGTGCGGTTTACAAACTCCTTTCCCTTCCCCTCCCCACAACAGACACCCTGTGAGCAATGCTCCCTCTAAGCTGTGGCATCGCGTGAGCAAAAATTCTGCTTTGTGAGCTACCGGCATTAAAGTTGTTAGTGAGCAATTTGGCCACTGCATCAATCAGTTTGCTCCGGAGCCTTCCTTCTGGAGCGAAGACAAAAATGTGTGAGCCAGAGGCTCAAAAACTGCGAGCTGGCTCACACTCACTCAGCTCAGAGGGAACACTGCCTGTGAGGTCGGTGGGGCTGAGAGAGCTCTTGACAGAAACGGCTCTTTTTCAAGAACAGCTCTTATCAGAACTACGGCTTGCCCAAGGTCATCCAGCAGGTGCAAGTGGAGGAGTGGGGAATCAAACCCGGTTCTCCCAGATTAGAGAAGAAGAAGAGGAGATTGGATTTATACTCCGCCCTTCACTACCCGAAGGAGTCTCAGAGTGGCTTGCAAACTCCTTTCCCTTCCCCTCCCCACAACAGACACCCTGTGAGGTAGGTCGGGCTGAGAGAGCTCTTGACAGAAACCTCAAGGACTGCTCTTATCAGAACTAGGGTTTGCCTAAAGTCATCCAGCAGGTGCAAGTGGAGGAGTGGGGAATCAAACCCGGTCCCCCCAGATCAGAGTCCCCGCACTTAACCACGACACCAAACTGGCAGCCCATTTCTATGGGAGAACTGATCTCTGTCGTCTGGAGATCAGTGGGGATTCCGGGAGAACTCCAGGCCCCACCGGGAGGCCGGCAAGCCCGCCGGCTATTCGGGCCAGGCTGCCCGGATCCGATGCCCGAAGGCGACGGACGGGGAGGAGCGGGCTGGGCAGGTCCGCCCGCCCCGCAGGGAGGGCCGATGGGGGCTGGGCCGGGCCACGTCCCGCCGCCGCCCGCTTGCAAAGCGCCCCAGCCTGGAGGAGCGGCGGCGGAAGGTGCGCCCGGGCCGGCCTGCGGTTGCAGAGGTGAGTTTGCGGAGAGAACCCCCGCTCCTGCCAATGCACGCGGGAGCCCCTTGCACACGTGCAGGCGGGGGGCCCCTGCCTCTATTTCAACCCGGTTCTCCCAGATTAGAGTCTGCACACTTAACCACGACACCAAACTGGCAATGAGGAGATGTGATGTAAATAGCCTATCATTGGGAGTGGGGTGTGTTTGGGTGTGGTTTCTGCATGCAGTCTTCAGTCTTGTTCCTGAAATCACTAAATAAAGTAGAGCTGTTCACTGCAAAGCATCTCGAACCCAGTCTTTAACACTATTTTGATACCTCATGGAGAACGGTGTGTGTGTGTGGGGGGGGGTTATGCATGCTCCACCCCCCTGACCCTCTTCCTTGACCCCCATCCTACCGTCTGAACGCGGGCCGAGTTGAGTTTCCTTGGGGCGCATCCAGTCCGCCCCCCCCCAAGAGCTGGGTGGAAAAAGAGGGGCCGTGGATCGAGCCCCCAATCCCGCAGAGAGACGCCCTGGGAAAAACGCGTGGCCCGACGCCGGGTGGTCTCGTGTGAATAGGCGGACTCGCCCTGCCAATGCACGCCTTGGTAGCAATGCTCCCTCTAAGCTGTGGAGTCCTGTGAGCAAAAATCCTACTTGGTGAGCTGCTGGCATTGAAGCTGTGAGCGGGCGATTTGGCTGCTGCATCAATTAGTTTGCTCGGGAGCCTTCCTTTTGGAGCTAAGGCAAAAGTCTGTGAGCTGGAGGCTGAAAAAACTGTGAGCTGGCTCACACTGACTCAGCTTAGCGGGAACACTGGCCCCGGGCTCTGGATATGTGCCTGTGCAATTCCTCCACCTTGCTGGTGGGAATGCCCGGGAGAGAGGAGGAGAAGAAAAGGAGATTGGATTTATACCCCACCCTTCCCTACCCCAAGAGCGGCTTACAAACGCCTTTCCCTTCCCCTCCCCACAACAGGCAC